AKMACCAATAGCATGTAGAAATAATATACTCTTAGATGGATACTGCAAGTTGAAACATTCTGAAACAGCGGTTAAATGGATGCCAAGTTGGAGGCCTATTACTTCCCAGTACTCCAAAGGGTTATGCAAGCACTTAAACCGTGATCTGCCTTTCTAGTTTTCATTCCAAGGAATCTTTATCTCCAAGCACCTGATTTAGATCAAAATAAATTCTTATTTGTTTAAAGCTGCAATTAAGAAAAAAATAATATTTTCTTGCTGAGAGTGGCAGCAGGAAGGAATATAGATTGCTTAAAATAATAAGAAAGTAACTAGAGATTCAGCATAAACTCTCATAGCATTTTTTTTGTATTTAAAATTGCATTTTATAAGTGTGCTGAGTATACATGTACTTTTAAGACATTAGATAACAGGTCTTGGCTATCATCAATCTCGGCAATTGAAATGAAGAACTTAGCTTCAATTAATGCAGTTAGAGAGGGCAATAGCAAATTCATTAAACCTGAAAATCTACCACTGCTGTGCAGGAAAACAGTAGATTTCATAGACTGGATACACTTTTAACGTGTTCTGTTAACATGTCAAGCAGTTGTAAAGAGACAGAAATACTATGCAGTGTCTTAAAAAGAGGGAAAGATTACAGTGGCTTCCTTACATCTGGTTATGCAATTTGAGTATCAAGGGAAAATTGAGGTGTTTTGATCTAGAATAACAACTTAGTATTTTGGAATCATTTCCGGATGTTAACAGCTCTAAAAAATATATATACCTGGAATAATCTTACAATTCTTTAATACTTGGCTTGTTTTACTGGAGAGTACATATACAAAAATTAAGCTTGCTTTTATCAGTGTAGCAAGCACTTACATATAGCTTTGTTTTCGTGAARATACAGGAACTGTAAAGGCATCATAAAAAAAATCACTAGATTTAAGAAAGTGTGAAGCTTAGGAGTTTGGGTCTGTGTAGTATATTCCTTTCTATTTTAGGAAATTTCTACTTTTTCCAGTGTATGTAACATTCTTAAAATACCTTGTCTCCATAGCTATTTATTTCCTCTTTACTAGGCCCTTAATAATCCTGGATTGCCCTATTTGAGTGCAGTTGATCCAATCAAAGGTGATATAGAAGGACAGCTAACTGACAACTATTTCTGTTTCACCCTCCTCCTTCTCAAAGAACAATTTGCATATGTGTGAAATTGCRTCTGTATCTAGAGTTAGGTAGGTATCTGCCTCTTTTTTTTAGATTACTGTTATCACCAAATGACAGAAATCTTTTAGAAATCAGAAAGCAGCTAGTGTAAGCTCTGCGAGTGGGCAGGTYGTCTTTGTAGAATGTGAGAAGGTTGAATGTTACTCTTCTGCTAGATTCTCAGCTCCTGATTTTTCCCCAGTTTCATATATTGTCAGTTAGAATAGTCACTTGACCTAGAAGTAGCTGGCAGTACCGCAGTCCTCATTTGAGAGGATAGGTGGCTGGTTCCTGAGCACATGGATGTTTAATGTCCAAGGAGGGTAGGCACCTATATAGCTTTTGTTTGCCCAGAGGCCATTTATCTTTCATTTCATTTGTCTTTCATAGTAGTAGCTGTGAATGTGTATTCCATATTTCAGAAATTACTGGAAAAATCTTGGAGATAAATATGGAAATATTTGTTATTTGTGATCTTAACAGTGTCCTGGAACTTAAAGCTTACTGATCCAAAGACTCAGTGAGTATGTGTTGAGGTTAGGCCTCTAAGACAGAACATTTCAAAAAATTTCATTGGATTTGAGTGCTGCATTTCCTCAAAGATTTGCACTTATTCCTTTGGTCATCACTACCTATCCTTGCTATCTTGCTTTTTATTTATTTATTTATTCATTTTTTAAACACAATTGGAAAAATTCCCATAGATTTGGCCTCCTCTTACCTGTCTTTTCACAGTAGTATGGGAAAAAAGTACCTTTGGCATAGCAAAAGCTAATCTGGTCTTCAGAGTTGGCTACTTGCCTTGGAAAAATGTTGTCACCGTTTCCTGACATGTCATCTTCCTCTTCCCTTAGTACTTTTTGGACATTGTACTGTTGACTTTATTCAAGAGGAGTCATAATCCTTAGGAAAGCAGTATTTCTTCATACAACATGCAGATGAGTTTGATTCATTTTAACTGTATACCTACATACTCGGTGTCAGTACCTAATTATCAAAAGCAGCAGTCATTTTTTTGCACACCTCTGTCCTCTTCAATTGTTTTTTTAATAGCCTTTCATTATATCGGTAGAGGACACTTTATATATATATATGGCAGGTACAATAGATAATACACTTGGTTGTATCATGTAATCTGGAGGGATGTGGCATACTTCAGAAATGGTTTTAAAGTTCTGAGTACAGCCACAGGGGGGCTAAATAACTTCATTTATGTCCTGGTAGTCCCTTGCTAAGTGGGTTATCTCGGTCTGTTACACAGAATGGTTGAAGTTGAAAGAGACCTCTAGAGATCTAGTCAAGCCCTCCTGTTCAAGCAGGGACACCTAGAGCACTTGGCACAGGCAAATGCCACTTACTTCATTTGTGGAGAGCTGCAAAAGAACATAAATCATATATAGGAAGATTTCAACTGAGCAACAGATTTTTTTAATAGCTAAAATTGCTACAATATAACTGTTTTCCTTAGAATATTTTGAGATCCTTAAATGACTTTATCTACTTCTACAAGAAGACTACATCTTCTTGTAAGTTACTGCAAATTAATGAATGTAGGAAAAGGTTTTTCCTGATTAATCAAAACCTAAACTTAAAGGTAACAACTTGCTATCAAAAGTTATATCACAGTGATATTTTTTCCTTCAGAGCTTGCTGGAAAAAACTTCACTAAAAGCTGGATTTTTAAGGAAATTTAGGTTGATGTTTTTATCCTTAAGTCTATAAGAAGCATGAGTGAAGCAGTCTCCTAGTTGGTCTTATGTCCTCACATAACCTCCCCTGGCATACACAAATAGAACTGTCCGTGAAAGTGTCTGTGATAAAAATCATGAAGGATCATGCTTGTGTTTTAATATTAGGCCTGAAACGGTCGGAAGTCTCTGCAGTAGGGGTAGTAAGAGCTTTTAATGGCAGATACATTGCAGCTGGTTAATGATTATCATAGCTTTACAAGCCTACCCTTCCTTTACCTTTAGATAGTTTTAATATGGAAAAACTTATTTGTAGATTGATCTGAAAACAGAGTTGTTAAATGACCCATGCTCTTGGAAATTTTTAATTGACTTGTGGCCTACTGCAATAATCATGTTCAATGTATTTGGTATTCCATTAAATATTCAGAGAATTACTTCTACATTACAGGAAGCTTGTCATAGTTCTCATGACTATTTACAAAACTTTCTTCACAAGTAGTACTTGTGTTTTCTGGTAATCTCTTCCTGTCTCAGTCACATGCTTTGTTAATTCTTTTAATCACACACTTGAAAATCCTCTTGTGTCACATGTTTAAAAATATTTTGGAAGTAAACTTCAAGAAAGTGAATGTTTGTAGGTTTTGTTTGACGAAAACACTGTTTTCAGTGACATATTCCTGTAGTGGTAATTTTAAAATTCCTTTATTGAATGTTTCCTTTTTCTATGAATTTCTTTAAGCTAATTTTGGTCTCAATTTTTATAAATCTTCATATACTCCTGCTTTCTAAACAGGGACCTGTTTAATGCATTGAACTTTAAAATGATTAAAGAGCCTTCCACTACTTCCARCACTTCATGTTGCCGTAGAAGAAGTTTTCCAGAAGTATTAAACCCCCGTACTTTCAGATGACATAGGTGTATTCTGCAACTGTTGAAAGGTTAAGACAGGCTTTTGAGTGACTTGAAATCTGGAAGCCATATGAATACCGTGCTGTAGATGATGTAGTAACCTCTGCCATTACTGTAGAGCACAGTACCTTGCTAATGCAGTTTTACG